GATCACAGAGGAAGATGTGGGGTCTTCCTGTAAGACCCCAACTACCGTCTGTAGACCTGGCAGTGCAGACCTCAGTGAGGACAAAGAGCCTGGTCTTCCCGGGCAGGTGGGAATGCTAGGCTAGATGCTAGGCTAGATGCTAGGCTAGATGGTGGTACTGGAGCCAGCAGGCAGCCCAAGGTCGCTCAGGACAAAAGGTCAGACGAAAGGTCTCAGCAACCCCACAGCCCATTAGGGATCCCCTGACTGTCTTTTGGGCCCAGGACTTGGCTCTATCGGGATTGAACTGACCTGGCTACCTCTGCTTGTCAGAGGCATATGGGGTCGCCTGTCGGAGGCATGGAGTCACCTGCCCTCCTAGGCCCTGGTCCATCTCAGTTCTGTGCTCTGTGATGGCTCCCTCTCACCTGTCTCCCCTGAGCCCCTTCAGCCACCTTCAGCCACAGGCGGGACTGCTTCCTGAGACCTGTCTCAGATATTGGAAGGGTTCCAACTTTCCATGTGAGAAAGAGGAGGGGTCTCACACAAACACTGTGTGAGACTTCGCAGGGACTCCCACCCTCCTCAAGAGGGAGAATCCAGGGATTCTCCACACGCTGCCTCCAAGTCCCGGCCTTGCGTCTTCCCTGCCAGCCTGATGCCAGCACACCTCATGGTCACAGAAATGGGATTTGTGAGGCTCTTCCTTGGCCCAGGTTAATAACACTGGTAAAGACCCCAGCCTTGAAGGGAGACCAGGAGCACACGACAGTGTGACACACTGTCACTAACACCTGTGCAGAAGGCTGGGCTGGGGAGGGGGATCTCATTACGCCTCACTCTGGGTGATGTCATGCAGAAGCTTTCCAAACAGCGAGCATATTTGTGCAGACCCTACCCAGTCCTGCACGGTAATGAGTGTAACAAGATTGCCAGTCTGTCAAGTACAAGGAGAGGGATGGCCGGATAGAGGTGGTCACAGCACAGAGCGAGGTGGAGATATTCCCAGGTGCTATCCATGTGCATCGAAACACCCCAGCTTGCTAGAAGATGTTAAAGCAAAAATGCAAGCAAGTAGAGAAAAAGAGGCTTCTTTCCCCAAAATAAAAGCCAAATTCATCAGTTGGTGAAGAACTGATGTCGGATGCGGAGGCAACTGAAGATCTCTGGCTGCGAAGGAAATCTATTTAAGAAAATAGTTTATACAGTTTGCTAAAATTTCTTCTTTTATTCCTGTAAAAGTTGATATCGGGCTTCCCTGGTGGCACGGTCATTAAGAATCCACCTGCCAGTGCAGGGGACACGGGTTCAAGCCCTGGTCTGGGAAGATCCCACGTGCCGCAGAGCAACTGAGCCCGTGCACCACAACTACTGAGCCTGAGCTCTGGAGCCCGTGAGCGACAACTACTGAGCCCACGTGCCACAACTACTGAAGCCCTCGCGCCTAGAGCCTGTGCTCTGCAACAAGAGAAGCTCACCGCAACTAGAGAAAGCCAGTGCGCAGCAACAAAGACCCAACAAAGCCAAAAATAAATAAATAAAATAAATTATTTTAAAAAAAAAGTTGATATCTGGCTGTCCCTGTTATAATAATTCAGACTGAGAACTTTCCCTACCGTGTACCATGGATGTACATGTATCTATCTAATATCGATCTGTCATCTATTTATTTATCATAGGGTAGAGTGGTGGAGACGGGTTGGACAAATAGAGAGAGAGAGACGGAAAGACAGAGAGAGAGAGAGAGGGGGCGCTGGACCAGCTTCTGTCTTAAATACAAACATCGTGAATCCTTTGGTCAAGTAGAAGTTGTCTGCCACTCAGTTCTGGTCGATGTGAACAAAAACCCTCTAGGGAGGCACACTTCCGGGGGAAGGGTCTTACATCCCTAACAATCTTGGGACCCAGTTCATGGACTCCATCAAGGTTCACCCTTCTCCATAAAGGAACAGACACTTCTATTACTGGGGACCCATCAGAGAGCCCAGGCCACAGGGAGCCACATTATATGCCGTTCTGTGACCACAGAACCTAGCCTGCACATTCCCAATTATAGATCCACATGCATAACCTTGACAGGAACTTCAGGGTCCAGATTGGGAGATAACCATTGTCAAGGTTAAAGGTCTTGCTCCCATCATTAACAATTCCCAATTTCATGATGAGCTTCTGTGCTTTAGAAGAAAATGGACTTTACTCATTTACCATAAAGATGTGGGGGGGATGGGAGTTTTTAGGGCAGTATTTCTTAACTGGTTTATCTATAGATTCCTTTGAATCTTCAGTGAATGCTGGGAACCCTCTCCCTAATAAAATACATGTGTTAGGGGTCACAGATTCCCTGAAGCCCACCCATGAACAGCAATGTAAGGACCCCTGGTCTTCTGGCTGAAGCTCTAGCCAGCTGGCTTATCGATTCCACTGCATGTTTGCCCATGAAGCTTTCACAGGCCATTGGAAGGCTGTTTTCCACCTGTCTCATCAGAGCCCCAAAGTGGGATTATGTGACTGTCATATGTGACAGATTGAAATACCATGACTCAGGCAGCAGGAGAGCCAGTCTGGCCACAGTGCTCAAGATTTAGACACTGTGATTTTGAGCCAGAACTGTGCCATTTCTGCAAGCAAAATGCAACAACCAAAACAGGCAGTTAAGCTATTGTTAATTTTGAGGAGACCTTCACAGTGATGATTAAGACAATGTATAATTTCAAAAGCCTAACGGGCAACCTCCTGCAAGGACCATGACGGCTCTGGCTGAGTAGGCCAGCCTTCCACAGACCTGTGTTTCTCTGGCCGCTGAGACAGCTCAGGGTCTGTTCGGGCTACCAAAACCTCCCTCTCCTTTGTGGTCTGGAGATGCATAAACATGAGACCGTCTGGCTTGTCTGTCTTAGAGATTTTTTTCAGTTACGTGGGGATCAGACAGTTTCCTGATCCCAACCTGACACAGAAAGAAAAGCTTTCTTGTAGCTTTTCTGAGCTGAACTTCCCTGTCCCTCCAGCCTCCCCTCCTCCTGTCACCATGGCAATGGGTAGAAGATGAGGGGTTTAGTGCTATCTTTTGGGGGGATCTTAATGTTATCTGTTGAATTGTGTCCTCCCAAATTCATATGTTGAATTCCTAACCCTCGGTACCTCAGAGTGTGACTATTGGAAGATAAGGTCCTCGCAGATGTAATTAGCTCAGGTGAGGTCACTAGGGTGAGCCCTAACCCACTGTCAAAAGGGGGGATTTGGACACAGACATGCATGCAGAGAGAACACCATGTGAACATGAAGGCAGACTGGGGTCATGCGGCTACAAGCCAAGGAACACCAAAGATGGCCAGCAAACCCCCAGAAGCTAGGAGAAAGGCAACATTCTCCCTGACAGCCCTCAGCAGGAATCCTGCGGATGCCTTGATCTCGACTTCTAGACTCTAGAACTGTGAGACAGTACATTTCCGTTTAAGGTACTTTGTTACAGCAGCCCTAGGAAACAAACACACTGACCTGGGCCTTTGACAGGCCACAAGGAAACGCCTCACTGTCCCATTTCAAACATCAAAAAGTGCTAAACTACCCAGATTTTATAGACCAGGTGGCAGAAACATAAACCCACCCTTGGGGCCACCTAAATCTCTGTCCACTGGAACTGTAATGACCTTTCTGTCTATAGAGGTGTGTGTGTGTATCTGAGATATTCTGGGGACAAGAGAAATGAAGGTGAGCCATTCACAGGCTGGCTTGAGGAACTAGGCTAGAGTCAGCAGAATGGTGCAAAGACATGTCTTCTGCCTGAAAATCTTATAATCAAATACCAAACCTCTGCAAGAGTAGTATTGCCGTTCCTCCCCAGCAGAGCCCCTTGATGGAGACCACAAGCACTGGAATAGGTTTGCCGCTCCAGCTAATACACTGAGCACCTCGGGGGGAATTTCTACTTGTGGGGGAAGAGAGGTGAGTTGGGGCCCACAGAAGCCAAGGAGTCCTGGGCTGGGGCTCCATGCAGGAGCCTCTTCTCCAAGGAGCATCACCTAACTCCCCAAAAGCTGCAGCTGGCCCCTATCTGTGAGAATTAGGAAAAGGGGGCCCCTGTAGGCAGGATCACCGAGAGCAGGTAAATTTGAAAAGTGTATCCCTTCCTCCAGGTGGCATGGCTTTGTGATCAGGTAAGAGCTGAATTCCAGATCCTAGTGGTCCCCCAGGCCAGGCGCCCTTGTGCAGTGAGCAACTTGCACAAACGTACATGGCAACCTATCCACAGGGCTCAGTGAGCAGTGACTACTGAGAACTTTCCCTCTTTCCCCTCTCCCCATCCCCCTCAGTATAGGACAAGGAGGGAAGGAGGTCAGTCACTTTTGGGAGCACAGTGCTTGTGGAGAGAGGCTATTCTCTGAAAGAGTGGGGATGTGGGGTGCGGTGCTTTCCCTCCATGAAGCCAAGTTGACAGCTACAAGAAAATCCCTAGTAAAGATACGGGGGTCTCTAAAAAAAGGGGAGGTCGGAGTCTCTTTCCACCTGAATGTTTGCTGAGTTGCAGAAGGCACTTGCCCCTTGGGTCTGTTCTGGAGCAAGTGGACATGGCGGGGGTGAGGTAGCTCAGGGCCAGACTGTTCCAGGAACCTGGGAAGCCAGCCCTCTCCCTTCGCCCATCTGCAGAGTCTCTAACTGGAGGTGTGCTCAGGGAGGGCACGAGGCAGGCCCATCTGGGCTCTCCATCTGGCACCCTTGTCTTCCCGAACACCTTTCCCAGTCCCGACAGAGAGTGGGGTATCCTAAGCCAGAATTCCTCCAGACAGGTCCTATGCCGAGTGTGGCTCTCAGAGCCGAACTCAGGGGGGCCACCGGCCTCCCCTTTTGAAGAACAAAGCACTGTCCACCCGAGGTCGGACTCGACCATTGCCCCAGACCCACCGCCCCCTGCGGAGATGGCCCCAGGCCGCGTGTTGCAGGGCAGGGAAGGTCTACCCCTCATCCGCCCCCAGCAAGGCCTGGAACTAGCTCCAGTCCCCACCACAGAGCTTTCCCGCACTCACCAGAACGTTCCACACTTGGAGCATTAGCCTGCCGAAGTTAGAACGTGGTAGTACATCCTTGTTGTCACTAGATGGCGACCCTGTGTAAAGGGAAAGCAAAATGCCGCTGGAAGCCGCCCACCGCCGGGATGCCTCTTTCTCTCGAGGCGGGGTCCCTGGAGGTACTCAAGACAGCAGAGGCCGGATACGGAAGGTGCTTACTTTCGGGTCCGCCCGGGGGCTCGGGAGGCGTGGCTCCAGAGGGCAATTCCTCCCCCAGTCCCGGGGTCCTTCCCCAGCAGACGACCCAGGGGCCACCCCAGCGACCCGGGGCTCCCGGAGCTGTGCGCAGACGCGAAGTGACTCCTCGTTACCGCGTTGGGACCTGTTTTGCCCCCCAAATGCTGTTTTCAGGTGAAGCAGTATCTCAGGGCAAGGACGTGAGCCCTGCGAGAGGGGGAGAGAACACTCACCTGCTGAGCGGGGGCCTCCGAGGCACAGACTCCGGGCTCAAGACCACCGCGAAGGTGGCGCCCGCTCGCGGAAGCAGCAAAACCAGACACAAAACCAGAGCGGCTCTGTGTGCTCACAGCTGTACACTTTAAACAACCACCACCACCACCACAATAATAATAAAAGCCCTGCAGTGTGCTTGGAAGCTTGTGGAATTGCTCCACAGTCACGCATATCCCGGCACCAAAACCGACGCGTTTGAGTTATCGATGAGTCCGTTAAGGTAGAAGAAATGGCCCTTGAGAGCGAATTTTCTGTGGCCCGATTAGACCTCACGCTTGGTGTGAATTCACTCGGCTCTGCGAAAATGCCGAAAATGCTGGGCTCAGGAATCCTAGAACATGCCTGTCCAGGGCTTCAGGCTCGAGGCTCCGCGAGGCCATCGGTGTCACCTGTGGGTAATAAACCGAATGAGGGAGGGGGCGGAGCTTCAGAGAAACTTTCACCAGTCGTTTTCAAAGCCAAACCAGGGAACATAAAAATGTTTCAGGGACTTCTCTGGTGGCGCAGTGGTTAAGAATCCGCCTGCCAATGCAAGGGATACGGGTTCGAGCCCTGGTCCGGGAAGATCCCACGTGCCGCGGGGCAACTCAAACCCGTGTGCCACAACTACTGAGCCTGCGCTCTAGAGCCCGTGAGCCACAACTACTGAGCCCGCGTATCACAACTACTGAAGCCTGCACGCCTAGAGCCCGTGCTCTGCAGCAAGAGAAGCCACCGCAATGAGAAGCCTGCACACCTCAACGAAGAGTAGCCCCCACTCGCTGCAACTAGAGAAAGCGCGCGTGCAGCAACGAAGACTCAGTGCAGCCAAAAATAAATAAATATATTTTTAAAAAAAGTTTCAAAGGCTGTATTCTTACCCCACTCAAAATGAAAACAGTTTTAGTATTACAGGAAACAGGGCTTTTTTTTTTTTTTTACCACTTTGAATCCCTACTTAATTGAATCGTAAAATGTCTGTGAGAAAAACAAACTCTAACCTGCTTTTTAGACCCCAAAATGTTCCTTAATGTCTGGGCATATTTGGAAAGTCACATATGGAGGCCACTTTCTAATCCTTACCTTTTACATCAATTCACAATACTGTGGGCTATGCGTATGTTTCACTTCAGCCCTGAAACAACTCCAGCAGGGAGATGGGGAACTGAGGCTTACAGCAGGGAGGTGATTTGCCCATGCCCAGTAGTAAATTAACAGCTCAACTAGAGCTGACATTAGTCTGTGCCACACTACAAGAAGCATTTGCCAAGACCGCTTGTGTGCCAGGCACTGTGTAAGATTCAGGGAACTTGGGGCTAAATATGATGCTTGGTCCCTCACTTCTCTCAGGTTGAAAGTTATTCAATCACCAACTTTCTTGGTGGTGCAGTGGTTAAGAATCCGCCTGCCAATGCAGGGGACACAGGTTCGAGCCCTGGTCTGGGAAGATCCCACATGCCGCGGAGCAACTAAGCCTGTGCGCCACAACTACTGAGCCTATGCTCTAGAGCTTGCAAGCCACAACTACTGAGCCCACGTGCCACGACTACTGAGCCCCGCGTACCACGACTACTGAGCCCGCGAGCCTAAAGCCTGCTCTCCGCAACGAGAAGCCACCGCAGTGAGAACCCCTTGCGCCACAACGAACACTAGCCCCCGCTTGCCGCAACTAGAGAAAGCCCCCGCGCAGCAACGAAGACCCAACACAGCCAAAAGAAAAAAAAAGAGGTTTAGACAGCAAGTATATACAGTGTGAGTTTTGAGTAAGTGAGAAACTGACCCGGAGCTTACTACCTAAGCAGGAAGAGGATCAGGTGCTGTGTGAGGACAGGCGCTGACACCCAAATGCCTCTTGGGTATGCTGCTCTCTCTTCAGAACAGCACTTAGGAGTCTGAGGGCTCTCATGCGCACGTGTGATCCATCCTCTTGTGTGATCAACTGATGCGTTCAGTCCGCGAATAATTCTGATGCTGCCATCAAAACCCTTCACACGTTCCTGTCAGTGGGATCAGGGAGACCCCGGCTCAGGAATCCTGCTCTGCTGACTTCCTGTCCTCACGAGGAAACTGGAACATTTCTGACACGGCAGCCCAAAGGCACAAAGCATACCCTTGGGCACACTTTAAATATCACTCTGAATAGTTCATCTTGTGCATTATTTAATAACTCTCTGCTCTGCAGAATGTTTACTTACACAGTATTTTCACTTCAAACTCAAGCTGAACCATTTCAGAGAACTTTTGACCCAGTAATTCCACTTCTGGAAACTTCTTCCATAGAAATACTTGTACAGGGACTTCCCTGGTGGCACAGGGGTTAAGAATCTGCCTGCCAATGCAGGGGACATGGGTTCGAGCCCTGATCGGGGAATATCCCACACGCTGCAGAGCAACTAAGCCCGTGAGCCACAACTACTGAGCCCGTGCTCTAGAGCCCACGAGCTGCAACTACTGAGCCTGCATGCCGCAACTACTGAAGCCCGCACGCCTAGAGCCTGTGCTCCACAACAAGAGAAGCCACCGCAATGAGAAGCCCACGCATCGCAACAAAGAGTAGCCCCCGCTCGCCGCAACTAGAGAGTCCGTGCGCAGCAACGAAGACCCAACACAGCCAAAAAAAAAAAAAAAAAAAAAAATTAGAAACAATTTAAATGTCCATCCCTAGGAGAATAATGAAGTAATAATAATTATGGTATCTCCAAACTGTAGAATTCTATGTAAGTGTTAAAAAAGAATGCAAGAGAGCTATATGAAGTGACATAAGAAGCAAGTTGCAGAATGTATTAACTTTTGTAAAAAAAATCATAAATATTTATTTTACATATATTAAAAAGTACTTAGAAGCATATGTAGTATACCAAACTCAAGCGAAAGTTTAAAATTAAAAAATTTATATATTGTTTGCATGAAAACAGCTTATGTATTAACTTTATAATTTTAAAAATTTATTTTTGTCATTTTAGAAAAAAAGTACAAAGTCAGATTTGGTGAATACAACAAAGACTTGGTGCAAGTTTTTTGGGTCACTTGCAGGTTCCTGTTACCCTCCAGGGACAGGGCTAATGCCTGAGACATCATTCTCATTGTGAAGTCAATCTTTTGGCCAGGAACAGTTTTTCTTGCCTGCAGAGGTTGCTTCCATCAGGAAATGCTGAGCACGGTTGCCCTCTCACTCTCGGAGCTGGTAGCCGGTGTGCTCACCAGGCGGCTCAGCTTCCATCCACTGCTTAGGCTCTCATCATGAAGCTCCGAGGGCCGGGACTGGGTGTGTCCTTGGCCTCTGTGTTCCCAGCACCTAGCAAGGTGCCCAGTGTGTATTTGATGCTCAATAATTGTTAATGAATTTGTTGAAGGAAGAGCTTTTGATCTCTCTTGGCTTGATTTTCAGGTTGGGGAAATGGGGTGTCTGTGAAGGTGGCTGGCAGTTCCTGGGTCACGAGTCTGGGGGTGTCTCCTGGGCTCCTAATTTTGGAAGGTTGTAAGCAGATGGCCCAGCCACCTGAGCAGCACGTGATGAAGTCTTAACACACAGGGGCAGACGTTGTCCCTGCACTTAGAAACGATACCGCAGAGTTGATTTGATGTTTTAGCAATTTGCAGAATGTTTCTGCTACACGATATCTAGATGTAAACGGTAATCACCTTATATAAATAATGGTAAGTGGGTTCACGGCCAAGGTAAAATCAAGCACTTCTGGGGGCACCTTTGGGGCCAGGGTGCCAAAGAGGGGACTTGTAGCTGCTCTGAGATCCTTCCAAAGATGCTTTGGACCCCAAATCCAGGCCCACCCAGATGCTAGTTTTCTCTTTGTTCCTGAAAAAGGAAGACAGTGCCCAGCTGTGAGCTCTCAGAGCTGAGTCCCAAGCTCCCCTTTCCCTCTGAAGGGCTCCCCAGCCGCTACCCCTGACATAGAAAACATGACAGGTGGCTCTGCTTTGCCCAGCTCCTGGCCCAGGGCCCTGGGGCCTCGCTATCCCAGACCCATTGCCCCTCATTCAAAATCTCAGCCAGGCCACAGATTCCACGGACCCAGTGATCTTCCCCAGTTTCTGTGAGGTAACAATTCTAACACAGATGCTCTGAATATGACTTAAAGGTGGGGCCTGGTAAGTTGATATTTGATGAAAATGTACACATATTCAGCTAAAAATTCAGAAGGACAGAAAACAAAAGAAGTCCCACGCCCCCCAGTTCCGCTGTACAGAGGTAAATACCCGTGAACTGTTTCTTGTATATTCTCGCAAAAATCTTCATGCCTGTACGAGCACACACGCGTGCGTGAACACATACGCATCTTTTGGTGGCCACGTGCTCTGCTGCCTTTCTGCGTCTTGCTTCCTTCTAACTTAGCTTGGAGGTTGCTCCAAATCAACAAATACTGATTTACTTTATTCTTTTTAAAGGGCTTTACTATTCCACTGTCTATATGGCAAACATTTGCTGTTTCTTCCTGCCTAACAGCCTGTCCCCTTTCTTCCTGTGACAGTCGCATTTTCTTTGTCTCTTCCCCACCCTCAGTCCTGTGATTTGGGTGAGGATGACCCTGACCTCAGCTACAGGCTTGGACATATGACCCAGACCTTACCACAGAGATTGGTTCAGGGGTGGACACATGACCTGGGTGCGGGCAAGGTCAGTCAGGGCCAGGACTTTATCTGAATTATTTAGGGAAGAGAAGCTCTCTTTTTCCTGCTGACCTTGCATCTGGGGAGGTGTGGTCCTGGAGCACGTTCCATTGTGTGGAGTCTGAGTAGGCAGGCAGAATGGAGAAGAATGGAACCAAAATACAGAGCTGCTGGCCTTGATGACACAGTGTAAGAGTCTGGCTTAGGTTTACCTGGAGCCCTTTTGGGGCTCACGTGTAACTTTCAGTTACATGTGCCAATGCATTCCTTTTTTGCCTAAGCCAATTGGGCAGGGCTTTCTGTAGCTCACCCTAGGAAGAGTCTTGCTATAGAAACTGGCATCAAGAAGGGGGGTTGGGGGCTTCCCTGGTGGCGCAGTGGTTGAGAGTCTACCTGCCGATGCCGGGGACACGGGTTCGTGCCCCGGTCCGGGAAGATCCCACATGCCGCGGAGTGGCTGGGCCCGTGAGCCATGGCCGCTGAGCCTCTGCGTCCGGAGCCTGTGCTCTGCAACGGGAGAGGCCACAACAGTGAGAAGCCCGCGTACAGCAAAAAAAAAAAAAAAAAAAAAAAAAAGAAGGGGGGTTGGCAAGTGACCCTGGAATATGGAATTGGCTGAGTCAAGGAAGGTGGAGAGCCTTCTCTTCTTGGCAGCAAGTTGGCCATTCTCATTACCCAGTAATGAAGCAACTAATTAAATTGTGGTCACTCAGACTAGGTGCACTATTTTACTTATATGAGGTAACTAGACTAGTCAAATTCACAGGGAGAGAGAGTAGAGCAGTGGTTGCCAGGGGCTGGGAGGAGATGGAAACAGAGAGCTGTTTGATGGGTAATGAGCTTCGGTCTTGCACGATGAAAGGAGTTCAGGAGGTGGATGGTGGTGATGTTTGCACAAAATGAATGTACTGAATGCCACTGAAAAATGGTTAAGATGGTAAATTTTATGTGGTGTGTTTTTTACTAGAGTTAAAATAAAACATACACAGAAAGAAGAAGATACAGCTTTATCATGAGAGGCCCTTTCTGCCTGTGACCTGCAATCCAATATGGCTAAGAGTCTGGTCAAGCGCTAGTGGAAAAGCTGAACTTTCTGCAACAAGCCGAGAGCACAGGGACCACAGGCTGAGAGGCAGAAAACAGCAAGAGAGAAAGTTGGGACTTGGGAGGCGAGTACCGCAAACTGACATTTAGGTGTCTCTTGTACGTGTTCGCCTATATGAACTCATTACTCATAACAACCCACTGGGGTAGATGCTGATTTTCAGATGAGGAAAACAGAGGCAGGAGGAAGTTAAACAAATAAACCTCGACAAAGTAAGGGACAGCGTCAGGACTGTGAGCTGGGCAGTCAGTGGTTCTGTTCCTACTCCATGGCACTGGGACACAAATAGCCTGGAAGCCCCCTGAAATCCCAAGCGGATCGTGTTGTCAGAGAAACCCACACCAGCTCACAAAGCCTCAGTCCCAGGGTGACCTCCAGGCCCTGCTGCACCAGTGCAGTGCCTCTCTCCCTGGATGCAGAAAAGTCCACGCCACGGGGATTTCGCAGCTGCTGCCTTGCCTACCCTCCCCTTCACTTTCACATGCTTTAACTTCTGTGGACTCTCCTCCTTCCAGAGAACAACCTGTGGAGCAGCTTCGGGAAACCACTGGCCATACAATATTATTCCGGTGCTTCGAAGATTTACTCACCACAATCCTCTTTTGGTGTGCCCACGTCCAGGAGCTGACGCTCATTTCCTGGGCCACAGTATCATTGTTCAGTGGGTCTCACAGTTGGCTCTGGGATAGGAAAATCTCTTGGCCAAAGTCTTTTGACGACCCTCAGTATTTCTGCTTGAACAATCTGTTTGTGTGCGCTACTTGGGGTCGCCAGCATAGACAGTGTATTAGGGTTAGGTTGAGGATGAGAAAGATTCAGAGTCATCATCTGGCCTCATGGAAACCAGCGAGGACCTAGGAATCCCCTGGAGGTCCAGTGGTTAGGGTTCCGCGCTTTCACTGCCCAGGGGAACTAAGGTCCCGCAAGCTGCGCTGTGCAAGCCAAAAACAAAACAAAATGCAACAAAACAAAACCAAAACCCAGCAGAGGACAAACCACATCATCACATCACTGGGGGCCCTGTGACAAAAAAGGACAGGACAGGGGAGTGGAGACTTATTTCAGCAAGATGAACCACGCTCTAGAGAGAAATACACATCAACCTGACACAGGGGAGGCTTTGCCCCGGTGGAGAGGAACTTCTTCACCAGAAGGATGTCTCCTCTGTGCCACAAAAAGGACAGTGTCTTCCTGAACCCAAGGAAGAAGGACCTTGAAGACCCCATGGCTCCAAGCAGCATAGTGAGTTATACAACAATACTCACATGGACTTGGCAATGAGAATTTGATTGTAGACAGCCAAGAACAGACTCTGCGAAGGAAACTATGCCAAAATACAGCCATGTAATAAAATATATTCTACCACCAGTACTTAGTCTTCTCCTTGTGTTGGTTTCACATTTTTTTCACTTTATTAACTTACGGACAGTAAAGTGAATTATTTATGTTTGTTGTTATAAATGATCTGTTCCTACTCCTCTTACTGCCAAGAGCTAAGACCTTCCTGGTGTCCCACAGTAATAGGCAGTCTGGTTGCAGATCTCAGGTGATTTCATTGACGTATGGAGAGTAGGCAGTGTGATTTCTCAAGCCTACTCCAAAGGAATAAGCAGAGAAACCTACAACTCGTATATAGGTTCAGCCCTCATCCATATGGAAATACCTTTCCTAATATCCTCCGAGTTCAGCACCTGCTCATAACCATGAGGACCCACACCGTATCCTCACATAATAAGCAGTGAGGAAGACGGGGGAGATAGGCCAGCAAATGAGGCCCTTGCCTAATTAGGAGGTATTTGTCTTTAGGGGTCTCATCCAGTGACAATTTACCTAAGGGTTTGTGATGTCTTGTGCTATATGGGGTCCCTGACATCAAGTGTATCCGTAAATCAGAGACTATCAACTGGTAGCCCAGAGGCTGAATCAATCATGTAGATGTGTGTGTGTGTGTGTGTGTGCGTGCGCGCTGTGGCTGTTATTTTTTGGCTTATACAAGTTTTCTATTAAAATACGAATTATTTGCCAGAATTAAAAATCATAAAGTTTCATATAACAACTCATATTTCCAACCCCTTTGGAAAACACCAAAATGCTGGGAAGCGTTGTTAACAGGGGAGCAGCATGGCCACTTGGCAATAACCCACTGACCTGAGTGAGGGGGTCCCCCACAGCCCCCACTGGTAGGATTTACTCCTTCCTTCCTTCCTTCAAATGTCTGCCCCTGCACATTTGGGTTTGCAACTCTGTGCCCTCCCGGTCTAGTAAACACCAACGTTCCAGAACTGCTCAGTGCATGTGGGGATGCAGGGCCAACCATGACGCTCTGGCAGGTAGTAGGATAACCTATTCTCATGAAATTTTTGTTTGGCTCTCTACATATTTCCCAACTGTAAGCAATTCGCCAGGCTTTGTACGTCTTTGCCTTAATAATTGTGGTGGGGCAGACAGCAAGGCAGCCTGAAAATGAAGCTGATCTGTACTAAAAACCTAAGGCCACTGAAGAGGTGATGGGGTGTCCTGGAGAGAGGGGGCCCTTGGAGAAGCGGTGAGGTGAGGAGGGCGGGCCCCTGCCCGGGAAGGGCAGAGAGGTCTGGGGACTCCTCCAGGGCAGCAGGGTCACTAGCACTCCATGAGAGCCTTCTGGAGCCACATGGCTCGGTGGCCAGGAGAGGCAGCTCTGGCCCCAGAGCCCCAGCCCCAGCAAAGACTCCGTATCCCTGGAAAGCCAGGAAGCAGGGCCTGCCCGGCTCGGAGGACAGGTACCAGCCAGGATTTCCCTCATAAGCCTCAGGGACTCTGATACCACCTTGGAAGGACAACAGCCTTCAAAACAGACTGAGATGAAAAGGAATGAAGGACTGACATATGCTATAACACAGATGCCCCTCGAAAACGTGCTAAGTGAAAGAAGCCAGGCACGAAAGGCCACAGAGTGTAGGATTCCAGTGATATGAAATACCCAGACTAGGCAAATTCATAGAGACAGAAAGCAGGCTCGTGGTGGACAGGGGCTGGAGGAGAGGGAGATGAGGGATGACCACCTTTCTCTTTAGGGTGGTGAGAATGTTCTGGAACTAGATAGTGATGATGGTCGCACTATGTCGTGAATATATTATGAATGTACTCAAAGACATTGAATTGTAGACTTTAGAATGGTTAAAATGGTGAATTTTATGTTATGTGAATTTTATCTCAATTTTAAAAATGAGCTGGAATTTGCTACCACCTTAGCGGATGGTGACCTGAAGTTACAATTAAGTTGATTTAAAGGAAAAGGAAAAACTTTTCCCCCAACCTCTGAGTTTGTGGGCAGGACTCATTCCTATTATCTAACCCTAAGAAAAGGAGCCTGTATCCTGAGACACAGGAGGATCCAGGTTTACCTGGGAGGGAGCTCTAGAGACAGGAACACGGAGTGTGTTAGAAGGTGGTAAAAACACTGCCCAGGGGTAAAAGACTGGGTCCTGATCACTTCGGAGCTCAGCCCAGTCCTGGGCTGACCAGCTCCAGACTTCTTTTATTGGACTTTCGAGTCTAAGCCTTTGTTCTTGGGGTCTTCTCTTACAGTCTGCCGAATCGAATCCAAAAGAATGCGGCATCCTAGAGGATGTGTGATCTGAAGCATTAGCAGACGTTACATGGGCAAACTGGTGTGTGAGGGGCTACAGGTTGGGATGAGAAGGACCAAGAGGAAACGTATTCCAGGCAGAGGGGAGAGAATGTTCCCTGGCCTGGAGGAAAGACAGAACACAGTTGGGTGTGTCTGGGGCCACCAGAGAAGGGGTAGAAGGAGATGAAGCCTGAAATAGGGGCAGGGCTAAGACATGAGGGACCTTGTAGCCTTGTAAGAAGTTGGACCAGGGCTTCCCTGGTGGCGCAGTGGTTGAGAGTCCGCCTGCCGATGCAGGGCACACGGGTTCGTGCCCCGGTCCGGGAGGATCCCCACATGCCGCGCAGCGGCTGGGCCCGTGAGCCATGGCCGCTGAGGCTGCGCGTCCGGAGCCTGTGCTCTGCAACGGGAGAGGCCACAACAGTGAGAGGCCCGCGTACCGCAAAAAAAAGAAAAAAAAGAAGTTGGACCAAGCCCACAGGTAGAGGGGGCCCTGGAGGACTGGTGAGGTTCACATTTTAGGAAGATGCCTCTGGTGCTGAGACAGGAGGAAGCAAGAGCCGAGGGAGACCATAAGGAGACTGAGGCTGCGGCCAGACAGATGAAATGGACTTGCTGTACTTGGCGAGGGGCTGTGAGAAGGGAGCCTCTGAAAGGGACGGTCCACAGGAGCCGGTACTGGTTGGATCTGGTGGTGGGGACAGAGCAGGAAGCTTGAGGATGAGGAATCATGGGCTGAGAGAGGACGCAGACGTGGGGATGGGCGTGGAGCCGGACGTGGCCCGGGCTCAGCCACGGAAAGAGTGCTCGAGTGAAGACCATCGAGAGAGCCCTGGCCCGGGAGTCAGAAAACCAGCCAACCGTGCGCTCGTGCGGTGCCGCCTTCAGCAATGCCCTTGACCTCTCTAATTCCGGTCCTCATCCTAAACTGGGGGTGTTGTCAGTTCATGTTTGTAAAGCCCCCTGGCACTTACTAGATGCTCAATGTTAACTGAATCTGAAATGTTGCTCCATGCGTCCCATCGGCACTTTGCTCTCTCGTGCTCGCCGATTCTGGCCGAAGACACAGCCCTCACCCCTCTGCTCTGGCTCCAGGGTAGCCCAGAGGAAAGCCCCTCATCTTCCTTAAGCCGCATGAACTTGATTCCCGTTTTAACGGAGGACAAGCAGGAGGCTGCCAGGTGGACCTGGATTAGAAGCCAGGGCTCCCGGCTCCAGGGTCCGCGCTCCCGGCTCCGCAGCATCTGGACTCCTGCCGAGAGGGCGGGAGGCCGGGGGGCGGGGCTGCGGGTCCCCTCGCGCCCGGAGCCTCCTCCCTCCCTGCGCCCGCCCTGCCGCACCTCCCCGCGCTCCTCCTCCCCCGCCCCGGCTCTGCGCGGAGGCTGCGGCTCAGCGGGGCAGGCGCGGCGCGCGGGGACCCAGGCGGTGGCGGCCGCCGGGCGCAGCGGGTCCGGCGCGGGGAGCCGGGCTCAGCCTCGGCCTGCGCCAGCCCCGACCCTCGCCCACCCGAGGCCGGCCTGGGGGGCCCGCAGGGCGCGCGGAGCGCAGAGTGCGCGTCGGGCCGGGCTCCGCACCTCCGCACAGGAGCGCGGGCGCGGCGCGGCGCAGCGACAGGCATGGAGCCGGCCCAGGAGCCCCCCGCGCGGGCCCGGCCGCCGCCGCCCCCCGCCGTCCGCCCCGCGCCCGCCCCCGCCGCGCCCAGGCTGCGCTCGCCAGCCGAAGCGGAGGGCCGCGGTCCCGAGGGGCTGCTGCGGCGATCGGGGTCGGGCTATGAGGGCAGCACCAGCTGGAAGGCGGCCTTGGAGGGTAAGCGCCTAGCGGCCCTCCATCCCCCGGCCCGGGGACCCGGGAGGCGGGACAGAGTCACCTTGGCCGGTCTCCCGGTGGGGAGAGCGGGGAGCGCGACTCTGGAACCCGGAGGATTGCCAGGGCATCAGATGCCACATTGTGGGGCGATGGGGAACAGGTAACTGGGGACCACCTATAGTTCAACCTTGCCCCTGTCTCTGCAGCTAACTCCCTCTTTGACCTTGGGAGCAGGTTTCACGCTCTGAGCCTGTTTCCTTATGAGTGAAGGGGGACAGTTACTGTCCGGCACTCACCCGATAGGCATATTGAGAGAGTGGCTTGACCCTATAGCAGTGAAA